GATCTGTCCCTTCTACTGTATAGAAGTATAATGTCAATGGGCCCACTGAATAGTAGGACTTGGGAAAGTGCATGGCCATGCCCAGATATGTCGCTATCTAGAGACTGATAAATATCTGATCCCTGCCAGTCTACTTGAGATTCAGTAACAACTGATTTAACTATACAAGGATACACATCCCATGCCTTGTGTTAAATCATGACATTTAGGACAGAAGGATAATAGTTATAGAACGTCTTGTGTCGTAGAAGGTATTGATGAGATGAACGTCTTTTTCATAATCTGGGGATAATAATGTGTTGCTAGATACCGCTTATTATCTATGGTATTAATTTATATTAATATCATTGCCAGTGGTATGGATACCTAAAGGGTCACACACTTAGAACTTGTAAGGGAGTAATATACTACACTAGTGGGAGTAATATTAAATATATAGTTGTGATAATTTTATATATATATGTATTTTGAAAATACATTTGTATTTTAAAATTATATTTTGTTTGTGTCATTTTAATTATATGATAATTATATTTTGACAAAACAAATTTTATTTTATATATATATATATATATATATATATATATATATATATATATATATATATATATATGTAGCGCCGAATGTATATATATATATATATATATATATGTTATTTTATTTTTCATCATTTTAATTATATGATAATTACTGATGTCAAAAATAAAATATGATATATTTCAAATATGTGATGTCCGAAATTTCAAGAGGAAAAATCCAAGACCATTTTTATTTTATACATAAAGTATTTTTAATGTCAAATTGATATATTTGATTATTATTTGATGTAGGGATTCTATTTTGTTTTGTTATGGTGGTTAGAGACATTGCATTTTGATTAATTCATTATCACAACTTAATGTCTCAAGGAAGCTTCATGGCATCTTACATTAATTAATGTGTTATAAAATGAAATAAATCCCACCCCATTTCATGTGTGAGTTTCGGCCATCACAAGGAANGGTTTGAATCCCCTAACATTTGATTTCATTAAGAAGAATTGAACTGTTATCTAATCGTCTTCAACAACTACATCTAAATATGTTTGGCATGAAGAATGAGAACGTAAGTACTCTTTTTTACCTCTTAGAATAAGGGATATGACAAATTCATTTGTCATTTAACAAATTCGATTGTGGGTGCTAATAATGCACTATCCTAAAAAAAGAATAATTTTTCATGTTCTCTAATAGGTTTAGATAAGTAAAGTCCACTATTTTCTTGAGGGGGTAACTTGTGTCAAGCATCAAGAATTCAAGCGGGATTTCAAAGTCAGCAGTTTCATCGATCACTTGTCCAAGTTTTCCATCTTTGACTTTGCTTATCAATACAGAAAAACATTATGTGCCCCTATCAGTGCAAGAGCGTGTAGATAAATGCAATCTCATATTCTTAGCTAACCTATAAACTTTACATTACAATCACATTTGTGAGAATTGCTGGTAGCACCCACAATTTCCTCTCTCTACGCTATGAGTAGACCTGAAAGAATTTGGATAAAATCACCTCCGAGTATAGCTGTTTTCCCTCCGAATGGTTCATTTACGAAGTTATTATTAAAAAATCTCATTACATCTCTCATTTTTCCGAAAAACATTAGTGGGTGACTCATGGTACTTGTCACTAATAATGTGACGAACAACTTTTTCAGCAGATTCCCACATCTTGACTTAAGAACCTCTTTCATACCTTCAATAAATTCTTTATTATCGGTTAATAACCTCAATGCTTCACATTATTCCTTGAATGCATTATATAGAACATTGTTAACTGTCCTTAAGCGCTTATAATTTTTACATTCTTGTTGGACATTTAATACTTCTCAAGTAGTATAACTCTCTAGTTTCTATAAGCACGTACTGTAGTCTGCCTATTGACGGTCGTTGTTGCCTTTGTGGTTGTACATAAAATATTCTCGAAACTCTTTGCATACGTCAAATTTTATCCCGCATTAAATTTTGTATTGAAAATCATCCAAGCTTCAAACATTGAGGCTTTATCAATAATTTCTTCGACAACATCTTTTAGTTTTTGTTGGTGTCTAAAGGTTACGAATTTTAGCCTTGGGTTATAAAAATTCAATCTCAGTACTGATCACCTTTGTTGTATATCAAAAGAGAGGATTATCCAAGAGGCTTCACATGCAGATACGTAATGACAATCAGAATACTTATTTGTTTCATAATACACCATAATATCAACAATGCAAATATTTTTGTGAAAGTCCATGTTATATCGCTTCATCTCTAAAAATATCATTTTTTTTAAATTTCTTTGTATGATTGCGAAAATGAAGAAAAGAGAATCGAGCCATACTTCATCCATCTTTTTTATTTTCATGCATCAATATAGTGAATTATTACCAAATATAAATTTATAAATCTTAAGTTACATCTTAAATATGGTAAGTTACAGTGCAAACCTTCTTTGATTAAAATAATAGGTCAAATTAGAAAGATAAAGTACAAAAGTCAAATTAAATAATCCTGCTAAGTAATACTCCGTATGGTTTAAACACTTAATATATATAATTTTAATATATGGATTAAGAAGTATTTGTTATTTTACATCACTATTTAAATAAATGGAATAAAGCTAACTTCTCTTAATCATAACATAAAGAAATATGAAATTTTTTTAAAGATAAAGAGAGTAGTTTATATATTCATCGAAACTATTATTATAAATGAAATGAAAAAAAACTAAAAGAAATAAATATCTCTCTTTCTTAATTAAATGTACTCAATGATAATAAAATCATGAATAATGTTAGTGTAATATAATAAGTCCCAACGATATATTTTGTTTTAATCATTTGTCTTTTATAATATAGTAAAAATAGGTTTAAATATTCTTTTATACCCTATAAAATAAGAAATTTTTTTGTCTCAGTAAAATATTTTTTGATAAAGTCATCCCTACAAAATATTTTAATTTGAAAATAGTCCTTAACCTAATTAGAACTTCTAATTAGATGAGATAGTACATTTATTTCATACTCAACATATTAGCCATGTATTTCTAATTACATCCGATGCAATTTCTAAACCCTAAATTGTGTACTTATTCATATTACATATATCTGATTCTCAAATTTCTTACGAATATAATATAATCAAAAGTTGAGAATTGGAAATGCAATTTGATAAAAGACACAATTGTTGACATCAAAATTGTGTCTGAAGTAATTGCAAAAGATTTTGGTTCGATAACTCATGTTTTATTTATACAATAGAGTTGTTGAATTTTCAGATTATATAAAATGCACGAAATTGTTAAATAAAACTAATCTTCTCATTTTTATAAAGTTTCATTGTAGTTTTAAAATAAGTTTTTTTAATCTTCTCATATTTTAATAAATATAATCAAACTGACTGCTTCGATTTAAATATATTGTAAAAATATGAAATTTATTTAGAAGTGAAGAAATATCTAATTAATTGCTTAGGGCCAATTTGGTGAATTTTGGAGATATTATAAGATGTGGGTTATGAAAACTCAGAGAAATGATATGGACTTTGTAATCTGAAATGATTTTATTTGGAGAGATTTAAATTCAGGATTTAATTAGTGGTAAGAAAAGGTGACTGGCAACGAGAGTGGTTGGCAGTGATAATGGTAGCGAGTGACGAAGAATGATCGATACTTGAGAGAGATATCAAACCCCCATATTGATATCTCCCAAATTCGAGAGATACTGAGACCATCAATTTTAAAGATTTATGATATGTGCAGATATTAAATTTGATAACTCTTTTAGCTTCACCAAACACCAGAAAAGGATAAAGATATCTGGAGTTTTCAAAATTCAAAACTCATATTTTTTTTGCTCACCAAACACACTTTTAGAAGTTTTGTAATAATTGAATAGAAAATTATACATAATTAGAAAATACTCCCTCCGTCTATGTATGATCTTCCCATTACGCGTTACGAGGCTTGACCGACTTTATTTTCAATTCAATTTAATTGATTATAGGAATAAATTTTTAAAATAAAATTTATATAGTAATAAACTACATGAAAAGTTCTACAAAACTAGAGGTGACAACACTATATTATTTTATGAAATGACTAGTAAAATTGAGCAAACAAAGTGAGTAAAGTTTGACCATGTGAATAGTGTCTGGGAAGATCTATGGTGGACAAAGGGGGAGTAATTATTATAAAAATGAATAGCTATATTCTCTTCCATAATTAATTATACCGAAGGACTTCATACAATAGTATTAACTTCTTACTTTCTATAATATATTTTACGTGTTAGAAATGTCTCTTAAACAATATCACATCTCTGCTTCTTAAAGATTAAAATATCAATTTTATAAATAAAGGATCAATTATAAACATATTTGATCCTTTTCTCTAAGAATACTCTTAAATGAGAATATATCATTATCAAAATTTTGTTTTTTGTGTATGCACTTAGTTAAAAATTTGATTCATAAAAAATGCTAGTCTTGAAATGGTAAGTGATAATACCAATTTTATATTTTCACTAATTGTTTGCTACATCATAATAATTTTTATCACAAAATTATATTTTATATAATTGTTTTCCTTTAAAAATTTTATTTCGGACAATACTACATTTATCTTTCACAAATTTGATTTTATAACATAATTACTTTTATCACATCATAACAAATAAATAGATGGATTGCTTTTTAAAAATAAAAATATAAATACTCAATTAATGTCACGAAGTAGTGAATTCTTTATTTCTACTAAATCTTTTAACATAAAAGTTTTCCAAAATTTAAAATCATTATTAAATTTCTATTTTAAAATAAAAAGAAAGGTCAATTCATCATTAATAAAATTTGCCACATAAGCAACCAATAAAGATTTGCCATCTCACCTTAATATAGCCCACATAAGCTTGTTTTTTGACGACTTTTTAGCAAACGGAGTCTCAAATATTATATTAAAGGATTATATTTTTTATAACTAAAAAGAAATTTTTATACAATCCTTTTTTAATTATGAAACATTAAAAAAGCTTAACTGAGATTGTAACAAAAAGCACCCTAGCTTGGATGGTTAGCAACTCAACTAAATGACCAAGAGATCTTTGTTTCAAACCTCATGGTGGTATGCTTTTGGAAAAAAATTGCAAAATAAGAATTGGTCTAACCGGTCAAACCGATCGGTTTGTCTAAAAGAGTGACATATTAGCTCGCCACATGTCGCGCTTTAACTTTGCCAAATGTCACCACATCAGCTCGCCACATGTCGTGCTTTAGCTCTGTCAAATGTCACATTCTTATAGCTCCGACTCTCCTTTATATATATAAAGGATGTGGCTAGAATATTCTCTTTTATCAAATTACCAATGAAAACACACGAATAAATAAAAGTAATCGAGAGCTCAATTAGCAAAAGTACAAATCATTATGGATGGAGAGAGCAAAACATTTTCAAAATAATGTTTTGTGCAATTAATATACGTGAACACTAATTTTTATTAAATTATTGGTCAAACAATGAAGTTGATTGACAACAAAAAATTAAAACAAGACAAATAGTCAAGGATAGAGATGGTATTATGTTTTGATTGTAAAATATTTTTAAAAGATTTATTTATATAATTCATACTTCCTATGTTTCATAAAATTGTTCATATTTTGACTTTTAAGAGAAAAAAGGAGTACATGTTTGTGGTTGAGTTTTCAATTTTTCCTTTGATGTGATAGGTAGGGTACGAAAAAGTGAGGATAAAAGTAGTTTTGTAATAGAAAATAGAAGTGTTTTGGAGAAAACAAACTATGAAAGAAGAATATAATTTTTATTATAATTATAAGTTAAATTTTCATTCTAATTGACCATACAAAATCAAAAATAAACCACTACTATGGCACGAAGAGAGTATTATATATTGAAATATTGGAAAATAATATTGCTCATTGATTTATGAAGTACATGGTAGATATATATATATATATATATATATATATATATATATATATATATATATATATATATATATATAGCAAGAGGAAGCTTGGACACTAGCTAGGAACTGAAAACCTTGAGAAGAGAGAAGTCTGACATGCGCCAGCTAACGTTGTTGGAAAGGAGAGAAGCCTGACGTACGCCCATGGCTACTGGCATCGTTGGAGAAGAGAGAAGTCTGACGTGCGCTGGTAGCTGTTTACGTCTTTCAAAAAGGGAGAAAGGGTTGACATGCGGTTCTAGCTGCTAACGTCGAAGAAGAACAGAGAAAGCTATCGGAGGTGCCTATTAGATTGAAGATCCTTGGAATTCTTTGTCTTTATCTTGGATCATGGCAATTCCCAGTTTTTTTTATCAATTGGTAAAATTTGTATGACTTTCTTGAAGGAGTAGTTTTGAGGTTTTCCTTCCCCTTTTTCTATTGTCTCTCTTGGATTTGCTTTTATTTTGGTTTACTCTAGGGTTTTTATTGATTCAACAGAAAAGAAAAATAAGGGGGATTGATAATTAGAGTGAGTGATGTGAGAGAGAAAAAAAGTGGATTAAGAATTGGTGATGAAGAAAAGATTTGGGTTTGAGATTTTCGATGTGGTGAATTGGAGAGGAACAACTATCATATTTTTGCCTTGATTTTTAGTAGAAAGAAAGATGACTTGAGAGAATGTTTTTTAGAATTTTCCGATCTTTAAAATTGAAGGAAGAACATCGATCCAGCGGGTGGCTAATGGCGACACCGCCCACCAGGAGTGTGCACAGAAAATTTTAGGTCACCAAGTGCGGTGACTCTGATACCATGTTGAAATATTGGAATAATAATATTGCTCATGAAATTATGAAGTACGTATATATAAGAGAGATTCTTACAGAACCAAGAATGGAGAATGCCAACTAAATACAATAATACATTTGCCATTGGTAAGAATAGAATACTGATTAATAATCAAACACTACCATTAGTAATACTATTACTATTCTCCAACATTATATTTGTAGTCAACATTATTATTTCTACTTTCCAAAGCCAAACCCTTAGGGTATGTTTGATTGGGGTAGGTAAAATTTTATTAGGTAGGTAATTGAAAGTAGGTAAAGTAAGGTAATATGTTGAAATATTGTGTTCGGATATTTGTTTGGTAATGTGAGGTAGGTAAAAAAATAAAATAACTTAAATACCCTCATGCTTATTTTTCTTAATTCCTTGTATTGATCTCAATTTAAATAATAACAAGGTGACCCCCGTCGAATCATAATTTAGCACAATTCATTTTAATCTAAACCTAAAATTTTAACACACAAAAACATGGTTAAAAACTAGGGTATAAAATAGCAAACAAAAAATAGTAAAACAAATTGCATATTTCAATAAATAGAAAAAAACATTAAAAACCAAAAGCAAAAAAGGGAAAACAAAAAAAACAAAACAGAAAAACGGAAAAAAGCAAAAAAAGAAAAAAAAAACAGAAAACAAACATAAAAAAGTGCAAAAAAACCTGAATAAAAAACAGAAAAAAGAATACAAAAAAAGACGCCGGATGGGAGAGGATGGTTCGGACGCCGGATGGGAGATGATGGATCGGACGGCGGATGGGTGAGGAAGAAGACACCAGACGGGAGAGGAAGAAGACACCGTTCCAGCAGCCTTTGTTTTTGGAGAATAGAAGAAAGACCCGAAAAAAATGAGAAGGGAAGCGGAAGTTACCTAGGTTTATCGCCAATTTGGCGGTAGCCCATTTACTAATGTTAAGACGTTAATTACCTCACACCACATTCTCTTACCTATCTTAATTTTTTCTCCCAAACAAGGTAGCATAATAAACATAACTTCACCCTACCTCCAGCTACCACAATCCAATCACACCCTTATTCTCAATTAAACAACTTTCTCCCCACGATTCCCTCCTTCGTGTATCTATATATATGAAGTCCTACTCGTGTCAATCTTTATCTGGCAGAGCGGAGCATCTATCGCCCACACTAGAAAAAATGGAGACCACAACACTAAAAGCAAGAATTACACATGTAAAATATTATTCTACGGCGAACCCAAACATCTGGCAACTGTCCCTGAAGAGGATCGTTAATGCGACATCGTCCGGCGGTCCACAAAATACAGTCTTTAAGCTTGGCGAATCCCGCACTGTTACGTGGGTTGCAAGGGTGGCTTACGGCTGGAAGGGGAGTCCTACTCCCAAAAGGATTTCTTTCCTTTAATTATTTAAGAATACTAGTTGTAGTAGATTACATTTCCTAGTTAGTATTGGATATTTCTCTTCCTATATATTTATGGGAGATCTCTTGTAGGAGAACACACACAAATAATATAAAAAGAATTCTCCCTTCTCCTTAAAACAGAAAATTCGTTGTTTTACATGGTATCAAAGCCACGATCAACATCATGACCGAAACACCAAAACCAAAATATGAGACTTCGTCCAAAACCACGGACAACGGCGATAAGATGAAGAAACCTAGTCCGTATGATTTGAAATCTCTGGATACTCCAGGATTGTTGATCACTCAGGTAGAATTAACTGGAAGAAACTACGAAGAATGAGCGAGGGCCATGCGAATAGCCCTCCGCACCAAGAGGAAATTCGGGTTTATCGATGGAACTATATCATGTCCCGAAGATGATTTCGATGAGGTTGAAGAGTGATGGATCGTCAACGCTATGCTCGTCTCGAGGATCTACAACAGAATCGAAGCAGACTTGCGGAACTCCATCACCCAGGTTGAGGTTGCGGCTGACTTGTGGAACTATATAAAGGCAAGGTTTTCCGTGGAAAACGGCCCGCGGATTCACGAACTTAAAAAGGAATTGGCGAACACAAAGCAGAATGGACAAGAGATCGTCAAACACTACGGCAAGTTGAAGACGATCTGGGATGAACTCTACAACATGCTGAAGGTACCAGCATGCAAGTGTGGTTTGACTGCACTTTTGGAAAACCAGCGTGACGAGGAGAAGGTTCATCAATTTTTGATGGGCCTGGATAACGAAGGTTATGGAAGCCTTCATTCGAACATACTCAGCACCGAACCACTTCCCTCTATCAACCGGGTTCACTCGGTAATAACTCAACAAGAAGGCGTGTTGAAGATGACCACAGAGGAGGAACGAAACCCAATGGGTTTTGCTGTAGATATGGGAAAATCAAGTCGAGACAATAATTTGAAGTGCAAACATTGTGGGCAATCGGGACACGAGATAAGCGGATGTTTCCTGATTATCGGATATCCCGAATGGTGGGTGGACAGACCCCGTATGCAGAGTAGTAGACGAGGAGGAGACGGTCGCGGCAGCACAGCAACTGGAAGCCGCGGTGGCAGGGGGCGCTGTCGCCGGTCGGGTGCTGAGAACCGCGGACAGAACAGGACAGAATAACCAAAGGATGAGTTTGCAGGGTAGGCCAACATCCAGTGTGCGAACCAGTTTTCAGGTACGGTGAATCATGCTTAGATTATTGACAGTGGTGTAAGCGAGCATATGACCAGATAGAAACGCTGCCTAAAGAATATTTGGCCTATAAAGGAGTGTAGAGTGGGGCTTCCCAATGGTAAAAGTGCGGGAGCCGCACTTGTGGGCAAAGTTGTTCTTGGCGATTCGTTGAAACTGAGCAATGTTTTGCTAGTTCCTGAACTCAATTGCAGTTTAATTTCTGTTTCTCAACTTCTTGAAAAAGAAGGAATGCTTATCCAGTTTAATAACAAATTTTGTGTAATACAGGACTCTACCTTGAAGAGAGTTATTGGAACGGGTAAGCAAGCTGACGGACTTTACTACCTTGATCAGGAAGTGCGTCAAAAAGCCTGTGTTGTACGAGCGACGAAGGATTTTTCTATGTGGCACCAGTGAGTTGGTCATCCCTCTCTTGAGATTTGTCGTTTTCTTCCTTTTTGTTCTTCTCCACAAGATGTTTCTTTACCCTGTGATGTATGCTTTCGGGCCAAACAATGTCGTGACCCTTTCCCTGCCAGTTTGAATAAATCAAATATTCCTTTTGGTAGAATACATTGTGATTTGTGGGGCGGGTACCGTACGCCTTCGCATACAGGTTCCAAATATTTTCTGACCGTAGTCGATGATTTTTATCAGGCAACCTGGGTGTATCTCCTGATGCACAAAGATGAAACACCTAGTGTTATATGTAATTTTTTTTCCTTTGTTCAGCATGAGTTTGATACTCAAGTGAATGTAATACGAAGCAATAATGGGATGGAGTTTACGTGCATGAAACCTTATTTTGCCTCTCAAGGTATAGTATTTGAATCTTCATGTGTTGACACTCCACAACATAATGGGAGAGTCAAACGCAAGAACAGACATATTCTTAATATTGCATGTGCCCTCCGTTTTCAAGCCAACCTTCCTGTTTGTTATTGGGGTAATTGTATAATTATTGCCGCCTATCTCATTAGTCGAACTCCCACTCCGTTGTTAAATGGAAAAACTCCCTACGCTCTTCTTTTTGGTCAAGAACCAACTTACACTCACTTGCGCACTTTTGGTTGTCTTGCTTATGCGCATAGTCAAATAACCCATGGGGATAAATTTTTAAGTTGTTCGCGTCGCTGTCTTTTCTTGGGATATCCATTTGGTAAAAAACGATGGTGCTTACAGGACCTGGAAACGAACAAAGTGTTTGTCAGTCGGGATGTTAAATTTGTTGAGAACTCCTTCCCCTTTGTCTCTCCACCGTTGGATACTTACCCTCCGTCGCAGCCACCAAAACCCTACCCTTCAATGGACGAGTACGTTGATGATGACTCGGACGTCCACCCCATACCAGCCACACCACCCATTCTTCAACCCTATAACATCCTCCCAGCCGAACTACCCCAAACTGAGGACATTACACGTTCTTCATCCCAAACCGAATTCGTTGACAACATGTCCTCTTCCTCATCCAAATCATCTACCAAAAACACATCTGCACCGGTCTCTAACATTCCTCAGCCGAGGGAAACCGAGCGATGAGGTCACCACGAGCGTCGTCCCTCGTCTCATCTTTGTGACTTAGTCATGCACACTGTTCGTATTACGCCAGCTTGCGCATCTGTTCCGATCCCCACTTCAGGTACTGCTCACTGCATCACTAAATTTGTTAACTATGCTTACTTTTCTTCTCGACATAGAAGTTTGTTGGCAGCAATTACTGCATATGAGGAGCCCACCAGTTTCAAAGAGGCGGTTAAACATCCACACTGGCGTGAGGCAATGAAGAATGAGTTTGATGCCCTTGCTGCAAACGGCACCTGGTCATTGGTTCCACTCCCTCCACATAAAAAGGCAATTGGCTCGAAGTGGGTTTATAAAATCAAACACAAGTCTGATGGAAGCATTGAGCGATACAAAGCTTGTCTTGTGATTCTAGGCAGTTGTCAAAAGGAGGGCATTGACTATAAAGAGACTTTTGCTCCCAGTGCTAAACTTGTCTCCGTTCGAACATTGATGGCGGTGGCGGAGGTATGGAACTGGAGCCTTCACGAGATGGATGTTCACAATGCTTTTTTTCATGGGGATCTCAAGGATGAGGTATACAGGCAACTTCCTCCCGGCTTTGCCTCTCGCACAAAGGGTTTGGTCTGTCGTTTGCACAAATTGCTTTATGGTCTTCGCCAAGCACTGCGATGTTAGTTTTCTAAACTTACAAATGCTCTTTGTGCATACGGCTTCACTCAATCCAAGGCGGATTACTCTCTTTTCCCTCTTGTGCGTGGATCTGTTCAACTACGAGTTCTTATATATGTTGATGGTTTGGTGCTTGCAGGCAATGACGAGGCTTGTATTTCCCACTTTAAGCACTACTTGTCTGAATGTTTTCATATGAAAGATCTTGGCCTGCTGAAGTATTTTATAGGCATCGAAGTTGCACGCAACTCCTCTTGGCTGTTCATATCTCAATGAAAATATGCACTCGACATTCTCTCTAAGACAAGTTACTTGGGATGTCGTCCCGCCGCCACTCCCCTAACGGCGAACCATCGTCTCGCGCTGGTAGACGACCCTCTTCTCTCAGATCCTTCCCAATATCGCCGTTTGGTTAGCCGTCTCATTTACCTTACTATCACACGCCCGGATTTGGCTTATTCGGTTCATATTTTATCCCAATTCATGGCTAACCCACGTCGTGAACATTGGGAGGCTATTCGTCCACACTCTCCGATACATTAAGGCTCGGCCAAGGCAAGGTCTTTTTCTCTCGGCATCGGGTCCTCTTCAGCTCACGGGTTTTTGTGACTCTGATTGGGCAGGTTGCCCCTTACTCGCCGTTCTGTCTTAGGCTACTTTATTTGTTTGGGTGGTTCTCCCATTCTAGGCGCACGAAGAAGCAGAAAACTGTGTCCCACTCTTCCGTAGAGGTAGAATACCGGGTTATGGCAACAAGGGTTTGTGAATTAAAATGGCTACGGACTTTACTATTTTCTCTTGGTGTTCGGCATCCACAGCCAATGACACTCCACTGCAGCAATCAGGCGGCATTACATATCGCGGCTAATCCCATGTTTCATGAGCGCACTAAACACATCGAAATTGATTGTCATTTGTTAGCCTTGGTTTGCTAAGTCTCGTGTTTTGATGTTAACAAACAATACAAGAGTTTAACGTTTGTTTAAGTGTTTCAGGTACAACAAGAATCCATTAAGATTCGGTTCTCAAGAATGAAGTCGAAACACTAAACTAGCATAGAATTTAGGTAGAAACCGATGTAAGGATATTATTTTATATACCTATATTCACAAGCTCAAAAACACTCACAAAATATGTTTAATACCCTTTTATAATCATTTTCAAACATCCAAAAGGTTTTAAACAAAATTGGAAATGATTTGGACAAAAATGAAAAAATTGTCAAAATGGTCATAAGGTACCTAGGTACCGTGAGGGGTACCGTGAGTTAATCTGAGAAGGTACCCCCTACCGTCAGCACGGGACCCCCCTACCGTCTGGACGTGACCCTCCTACCGTAAGGGGTACCGTAAGAGATAGGTACCACTAGAGAGTTTTGGCCTGAGAAGGTATCTAGCTACCGTACGGGACCTAGCTACCGTGACAGGGTACCGTTACCGTTAGAACACTATTCTTGATTGCTGATTTTTGAATTAATTCAACTCTAATCACCTCCTAACGGCTAATTAACATCTTCCACTATAAATATAGGCCTAATACTTCATATTTCAACAAGAAACAAAGCTCCAAACATCCTCCCTTTATTTTTTAAGTGTGCTCATCCTTTTATTAATTATGTTCATTATTTTGGCTATTTCAAGAGCCTTAAATTCCTAATTTTTATACACACACTTTGAGCTTGTGTTTCTAGTTATATACTCTCATATTCATAAGTTTGAATTGTATTTTTGAGAGAGTATACTTTCCTTCTACACCGGCTAAGTTTTGTTCTTCATTTTTATATTCAAGCCGTTGTGTAGAACTATTGTCTGTGTTTTCCAAACACATCTTTATACGGTCGAGAATAGCCGTTAAATTCTCATATTGTATCGGTCGAGGATAGCCGTATAAATTCTTGGGTAAAGGTTCAAGGATAGCCTTTGATATCCTTGGGGGAACGGTAGAAGATAGCCGTTAAATCTTCATTGTAAACGGTTCGAGATAGCCGTGGTGAAATCTCGGAGTGAATCCTATTGGCAAGGGTTGTTTTCCAAACTAGTACGGTGCTTTGACGGAGTTCAAGAGACCGAGACTTAGTGGATTCGGAAATCCTTGAGGAGGAGCCTCGAGGTACTAGAGTAGGGAGTTCCTGAACCAGTATAAATTCGGTGTGCATTTTATTCACGCTTTTATTTTTGTGTTTTATTTATTGCTTCTGCATTTGCCAACACCATTTTTATTAAACTCCAAAAAGTTTTCAAACGCCTTATTCACCCCCCTCTAAGGCGTGGGCACAACGACTAAACCGATTAACATCATTTTGTTCGAGATGAGATTCAGCGAGGAGTTCTACATACGGCACACATTTCCTCAACTGAACAACCGGCTGATCTCTTTTCAAAACCTCTCGGGTCCGCACCGTTCAATCATCTTTTGTCCAAGCTGGGCACGCGGAATCCCCATGCTCCAGCTTGAGGAGGGGTGTTACGTGGGTTGCAAAGGTGGCGCACGGCTGGAAGGGGAGTCCTACTCCCAAAAGGATTTCTTTCCTTTAATTATTTAAGAATACTAGTGGTAGTAGATTATTTTTCCTAGTTAGTCTTGGATATTTCTCTTCCTATATATTGATGGGAGATCTCTTGTAGGAGAACACACACAAATAATACCAAAAGAATTCTCCCTTCTCCTAAAAACAGCAAATTTGCTGTTTTACACGCGCCAATCTCAGATTCGGCGCCGCCTCTGTTTTGTGTTCCGAGGAAGAAGCTATTGCCTTCTTCTTCGACGAGTTGGCCAAAAAATGCGGCCTCAATTTTCTCAAGCATGACCCACTCGCCGCCACTATGGTCCTCTCCGCGCCACCCACACGCGCGGCCCCGGGCTCTTCTTGATGACGCAGATAGAGGTGGTTTACGCTCTTCGGGAGGGGAGCCT